ATTATGGTGCGAGATGATCCTACTCTCTTTGTGGTTGACGACGCGATCTACTAGCATTCAAAGGCCCGGAGGATCGTAGTTTTCTTGAAGGGGGCCTGTTAGGCTCTCCAGAGCAGCAGGAAGAGGTAGTTTTTGGTGATAGGTAGTACCCACTCGTACTGATCAATGAAGCTCGATAGCTCATTCAAGTATGCAGTCGATAGAGGCTTAGACAGGACAATGTCGAGAGGCTGCAGAGTATGGGTCACGTGAAGCGGAAATACTGCTAGAAGAATCTTATTCTGATCGCAATAGTCGATGAAATCCATCGCGAGGTGAGATTGATGGTCACATCACCTGGAAGCTTGAGGTACAGCTTTTGTTTCGGTTCTCAATCAGTTCTGTAGCGATTGCGATCCATCGTAGTGATTAGTTTTCGTTGGCGAAGATCGGGATAGCGCTGAACAAAGCGATCAAACCAACGGTATCCTATCTCTTTCTGCGCAAACTCTGAAGCAAATCCTCGTACCATATCTCTATTAGATGGTGCATCTCGGACACTTAGTCGATCAATGTATCGTATAAGCTCGATTTCTTGTTGTGAATGGACAGCTTGCTGGTTTCGGTAGCAGATAGCGCGCGAGGTAGTAAGACTGATGCCCCTGCGCAAGCGTTCTACAGTTCACGCCCAATCTCTTCGCGATCTGTGTATATACAAGTTTTTCTCCAGGTCCTAAAGCGTGTATATCTGTAGGCGCAGCGTCGATAGGCTTCACTCGGGGTAATCGTTGCGTGGCAAAGTTGGTGGTAGTGGTGGTGGTTGGTGGGACGGATCGGGCACGTAGCCGTCCGAGGCACATAGCCGTCCGGCACGGTATAGGCAGCTCTCAGCGCTCGGCTCGCGCCAACCAACACAATCAGCATCGGAACCGCAGCCAGAGTCCAATATAACTACTGTCTTACAGTAACTTCGATACGCAGTGAAGTAGACAGCTATAGCTAATGCGAAAACTTACATATTGCAGGGACAGAATGTTGCGCTATCGTCTAGCTCCGCAAACCCGCTGTCACTCCCTCAATCGACCCACCCCATCCCCGTCCTGTCGAGCACACCACAACCGATACATATACTGTACTTCGTCGTAGCGAACATAGCTTCAGCTCTTTAAAGAAGGTTATGAATAAGTCATATAGCGTCCAAATAACGGGGTGGACAGATCGTGCTAGTAGACATGGCAGGAGATAGAAACTAGCTGGCGTGATACAGAACAGTAGGATCTCGGGTACTACCGGCACCGGTAGTGCTACGCACGTGCCTCAGCGGTATCTTATCGTGGCGCTGTGAACGCGACAGCTGGCTAGCCTTCCTGCCCTCGCATCACTACTTGAACACACGATACTACATTAAGCATACATTACTTCGATCTCGTTTTGCGCGCGCGCGTTCACAAGTGGGTGTACAAGCGACAAGTATACAATCAAAGTTCCCGGTTAGATTCTTCGACGCGATTGCTTAGCCTTACACGGAGGCGCGCCATATCCACACACGAGTATAATCCACTCGGCTTTGTGCCCCAGCGACAGCCGGAAATACGGAGAAACTGGATGATGCAAATTACATCTCATACGAACCGAGCACGTCGCAATCGAGACAGTAACCCCACCAATATTTGAGAGTGCAAATACTATCGACTTAGCCTTTCATCCTCCAGAGCTTCTAGGTATGTATGATCGTCCACCTTCTCTCTATCGTGCTTACGAGTCTCTGTCAGCGCGTCATATCGACCGTCTTCTACGACAGCGCTACAAACTCCGCTGAGACATCGTATACGATACGGGCTACAATCAAGTCAACCGTCCTCAGTCTGCACGACTGCGGAGATAACAGTCGAGATGAAGTGTATGGCTAAAGAGGATATCGTCCATCAGTCGCTCGATGACAGCCTGCTAACATAGCTACAATGCTTAGTGACGACTCCCAGCTAGCTCGTCGCGAACCTACTCGCCCTGCAGAACTATCGATCGTAAAGCCGATTATCTGCTCTTACACCCGCATCGTAACAGTGCAATCGAACGCGCACAATATTTGCGCCAGCCTTTCCATAGACGTGGTATCGACCCAACGACACGCGATAAATGAGGAATTGTGACGGATATCGCGACTCAGGTCGTAGGGAAGTTGAGTGGCAATTACAGCAGAGGTCGTATCGCATTTACGCAGAAATCATTTGCGGTTGTTCTGTACAGGCTCCACTTGCCTTTTGCGCAGCGACACCGCAGACGTTTTTCGCTTTCTCGGATTTGTGTCGTGAGGAACGCGTGGCAGACCGACAGTCACACAAACTACGAGCGTCGAAACCGCAACCACACATCAACGCTGTGATCCGGGCACCGCCCACGCAACCACATTCATATGTTCTACAACACAAGTCAACTGCAAAGGCTTCACTGTGCGCGAGCCCCAATTCATAAGATACACAACGCTAGTCTAGAATTGCTGTGGCCGGGATTGGGAAACGCAAAGAGACGTGTGCGTCTCTGTAGCCCAACGAGGAAGAAACTCACTAACTCAGTGCTACCGGAAACTAGGAGAATGGCCAGGACAGTGATATTCTGAGATTCGGAGTGACGGATAGAGCAAGCCGGTTGCAATGCATGATCGTTGACGTGATCCACGTAGCGCTAGAAAGAGTATTTACAACTCTCTACTAATGTCTAATGTTCTCCGATGCTATCCTTTGTGAGGAGCAATCTCTAGTTGATAGTCATCTGTCTGTACCTAGCCGATCATGCTGTATCGCGGGCATTAGTCGCGTTACACTTGGTAAGAAATGGAGTGCCCCTAAGGAGCACGCTTTAGCTGAATAGTTGCGACCATTGAACGTGAAATAACCTCGAAGGAAATAGACAGCCCCTGCCACCTTGGCATCCATTCTCGATAGGTGACACTGGCCCAGCTCTCATTCGATTCGCTATACCCTACCATGCATGTTCATATCTTCACTGGCTTGCGGACGGTGTGTGCCACGCTTCACTAGTTGGAACGGACCAATTACTCCATTAATGGTTGAAGGTGTTGTTTCAGAGCACGTGAGAATCCAGCTAGTCTGATCAATGTCACCTATATATATATATATAATATTGTCCTTTATTCGTCACATTTGTTATCTTCTTCTCATCTTGCAATCAGTGCATTCTCCAGAAGCCAAGGAGTGATGAGTTCTCCAGATACCATTCCGGACGATACGTTATATAAGGTATTTGAATAGATTGAATAATTCGCGGCTGTTATTGACGATCGTAGGAGTATCGAGATAATACTGTTCATCAGTCTTCCAACCTAGAAGGTCCAACGGTTACAGACAAGTCTTTTCGTGGTGAAAAAGAAGTCGAACAGCTCGATGAGTCTGCTTCCTGCAAGACTAAAGAGGCAGCGCCACGCAAAGCTAGTAAGACCCTCTTCCTTGCGCATGTGTCAGTACTCAAGAATCTTCTAGCGCGCCAGTCTAAGCAGGATGATGCCAGAATACAACATCTTCGGGACGAACTGAATGACTTGAGAGAGCAGAAGAAACAACTCGCAATCCAGGAAGACAACGTACTGTCGCGTCTATACGAAGCACTCGGATATATGGACAAAACTAGTCAATTGAGTCCGCCCAAGAGCCACAAAACTCTGAGATGGGCGAACAGCGTCGATGACCATAATCCTGATGAGGATATACGCCGCTTTAACAAAAGAGCTCGTAACAGTTCATAAGCTTAGAAAATGAGAACGTAATTACCTGATGCCTTCATGTGAACAGTCTTTGATGCTGGCTAGGCAGACTTGGTATCAATGAACTTTGGATTCAGGTAGACCAGTATCGAGTAACGGAACTTGTGAAGCTGAGCTGGAATCATTACGTCTAATGGTCCAAAGCAAAGTTGATTCTTAGGGCATGATGTGGGATTGCATGAGGCTGACCTGAGATACTTCGACCATCTGTGTTATAACATACGGAGGGCTAGAAAAGCGTACAGTACACTGCAGACGCCGCGGATAGTAAACACATGGAGTGATGCTTATAAGCACAGCGCTGCGAGTAAGGATAGCAAGATCAATGGAGGCTGGAAGACAGAAGGCAGAGTAATGTCAATCCACGCGTGCCGGGACGCACGGTGTAATGGGATAATTTCCTTTCTGGGCCTTCGGGTTGCTCGCAGCGTACTTGTATGCAAACAAACGTTATGCGCATCTATCTTGCAGCTCTCGTTCTTTTAACACATAAGTCTCCAACGCCGAAAAGCGAGTGGTGAACTGTGCTGTCGCCCGTTCTGTTGATGCTGTCCCCGACTCTCCGCTACTACTATCCCTGTTTGTTCGCGATGGTACAGCTCTGGAGAGAGCTCGGTGGGCTAGAAAAGAAGCTGAGATGGCAAAGATTAATACTGCAGCCTCGAAAGGTCGATTTAAGGTAAGAAGGACACATCGAGCAGCGGTGGCAGATGCTGCCAGCATACATCCAAGATGGGATCTTGCTGTCGCGTGTGTTTCAAGGTACAACTGACAGTGCCGTCTTCCAAGACTACATCGAGCAGCTGCTCCAGCACTGCGGCAGGTGGCCAGAGCCAAAGTCGGTGCTTGTGATGGACAACGCATCTTTCCACCATACTGAGCGCATCGTACAGATGTGTGCTAACGCAGGCGTGAAGCTCATGTACCTACCGCCGTACTCGCCCGATCTGAACCCCATCGAGGAGTTCTTCACCGAGCTCAAGGCGTTCATCAAGCGCAGCTGGCGCACGTACGAGGACAACCCAGCCCAAGTCTTTAACATGTTTTTAGAGCGATGTGTGGACCAGGTAGGGAGCAAGGAGCAGAGCGCGAATGGTCATTTCCGGCACTCTGGGTGGACGATCGACGAAGTGTAGACATTTAGTATGTTCGAACGAAACTATAACCTTCTTCTATTTTCGATACTATCAGTCCTACTACTAATCACTCCCTCATGAAGGATAGTTCTACACAAGTGATGTACTTATCTTCCTCCGAAACTGGCGTTAACTCCGCTGTAGGCGACGCCGATTTGTTGGCCTGAATTCTGATCACCAAACGTCAGGTTCGACACTGTGGTCGAACTGTCTGGGCTCTTCGCGGAGGCTTTGGCGACAGCTTCTTCCTGTGCTTTTGATAGTAATTTATCTAAGAGCATGCGTGATGCTTGTAGCGCTTTGCGCTCTTCTTCCAACTGCTGCAATGCCTCAGCTTTGCCTTTTCTAGTGGCGGCCTCTTCATCATCATCATCGCTGCTGAGATCCAGCTCTTCCATCCTGCTCTCCAATACCACTAGCTGCTTGTCCGTTGCAGCAACAGCGCCCTTCACCTCCGCTTGTACTAGAGACATGCTTTTTCTAACCTCTTCCGTTATATGGGTATGGCGAACAGAACTATACCTACAAGGAAAGATCAGCCTGAAAATCGCTCTAGAGTGTTCGATGCATAGCCACTCACAATGTCGCTATGCTTACGACTGAGTTGATTGAGAGCTTGCAGTTCCGAAGCTGCTCTGACATAGCCTTGATCTGCCCTTGCTTCAAGAACCCGACGCTGGTTCGATCCTGCCATGCCAGTTTCCCGCCTTCTGAGTGCCGAGTCCAGCGCTGAAGGTCAGTTCTGAAGAGACTGCATGCTTGCGTGCAGCTGCCAATGGTAGTCTTCGACTCGTCCAGTACGCTTGCGCCAAGGAGATCCCATTCTCTCTCTTGGACACCTTGAAGCAGTTTGAGTGACGTTTCGACAGACTTCACGTCTTCTGATAGGCGCTTGACAGTTTTGGGAGCCTCCTTGAGCTGCTGCAGGTCTTCTATGAGCAGGCGTACGCCGTGCAAGGCTGGCACAGTAATGCTCACGACGCTGGCACAGATGCTGAGAGGATCCGTCATCTTGTGTTTGGCAGCAATCAAGAACAGGCGAGCGGAGAGGCAACTATAGAGTATATGCTACAAAAGGGAGAAGAGAGAAAGACGGGTTCTCAGCTGAAGCGTAGAACCTGGGGTTTCACCATCACAGAGTCGCCAAGGAGGGGCTGAGTGGCCTGCAGGCCAGCGGCGCAAGCAGCCAGGGTGAAGCACAGCAGAGGCTTCGCCGCAAACACCACAGCCAACTAACACAACACACTACTATCACATTCGCATGGCCTCCACCATCTCGTTTGGTGACGCTAACGCCGGCTTCCAGGCGGGTACCGTCAACGGCCCGGTGAGCGCTGCGTTCTACCTGCCACCCGGTGAGTTGCGGGACCGCCCTACTGTAGCTCTCGAGGGCCCAAGCAAGCGCTAACAGACCCCGCCAACCGCTATTTCCACATCAGCGCGCCTTGGAGCTTTCGCACCACGTATGTGCATCTTGTGGTCTAGGCACATGTATCTTTTCATCGTTGCTCCACAGGGATAACAAACGGATACCGCCCATCACAAACTACACTCTCGATCCAAGCGATCTCAGGTCATCGTCCAGCCATCCATTTACAATGTACAAAGCTCTACATAAGCTTAAGCGTAAGCAAAAATCACTTGCCCTGCTTGTACTCTAGTCATTTAACTGAACACAGTGAACAAGAATCTCGATGTCCGCGCATTCCTGGTTTTCCAGCGGCTTCAACGATTTTATAAGACGTTGAATGTTGTCTCCGCGTTACTGGCTGGATTATCGCTAGCTGTGCTGACCTTCGATGAGTTTCATCCGACACAATCAAGCCTTGTTCGTGCCGCAGAAGGACTACTCTGTAGCTCAGCGCTAGGTTCTGTGACGTCGGTCATGACCTCAACAATGCTTCTTTTTAAATTCGAGGGCCGAGAATCAGCGACGCGAAAGGATTTGGCGATAGCGTGGACCCCGTTGGTCTTGTTGGACTTTGCTATCGTGGAATATCTATTCGGCTTGGTACTATGGTACTCTGGGAAGAACAATCAATGGAGAACTGCCTTGATCAGCTCCCAATTGGCATTCCTCCTAGGATATTGTGTGTGGTTATCTTTCTGGATGTGGGACACTATGAGTGGTAAAGGAGGATTGGGTAGAGAGGAGGCAAAGGCAACCACTGGGCAGACGCGAGCCGCGGATAGCTAGAGGGGTTTTGAGAGGTCTGTAAAGGGAAGGAATTGGATCACGAATCGAAACTTGATGAAATACATGCTCCGGAAAGTGTGGTAGTGGGGCTGTCGTCTATGAAACACATGTATCTTCTCTTGTCTTAAGTGCCTTCGTTTTTCATCGACAGAAGCTTCTTGATGCATGCTTTTTTTAACTTCAAATTGCTGCCATTTCGATAATGACTATAAGGGACTTTTACTTCTCACTTCTTCCACTTTATTCAATCGAATCGATTATACCTACCAGGTATCCAGTGAGGAAGACAGTCGTTGGAAACAGGCCTGCAGAGTATCATGAATGACACTGCCACTCAACTCGCGCAGAAGAGGAAGAAAAATCGAGATAGTCAGCGAAAGTCGCGCCAGAGAGTGAAAGATCAGATCGGTGTCCTTCAGCGCCAGGTTCGAAATCAGATCTCCAGCGGCAGACTTTCCCCTTAACAACTTCAGAGTACAAAGCTCAAACAAGAAAATGTTTCGCTACAGGAACAGCTGCGACACGCATTAGCGGAGGTAGAAGCGGTAAAACATGGTACGATTTCAGAGTAAATTTCTAACTTTGAATAGAGAGTACACCTCTGACCTTCATCACAGCTCAGTATCCGAACCAAGGAAGTACAATAGCTCTAGCAGACATTGACTTTCGCACACCATCCACTTTGAGCAATACCTCAGAACCCTACCATTGCTGGTCGGCCCTCACTCAGTGCTTTGTCTCAGACCACGCGCAGCCATCGCCAGCGTTACATTTCAGATACGACTCGTCGGACAGATGTTCCTTGCCACCGCTTGGTCCACTACAAAACTCTCTTCATTCGGGTGGCTATCTGGGGGTAGGTAGTCTATGTGAAAGCAAGGCTGGGCCAGAAAGTGATTGGGAACACACTTCCCTGCACCTATCACCAAACATTTCCGAGGCAGGAGATACTTCATTTGGAGCTTTTGAGAACATAGAGAACATATTAAACGAGAAGACTTAGTCTAGCAAACTGCATGATTCCGGTGCCAGAGGATCGGCAAATCTTCCGAATCCGCGCACTTAAACTAAATTTGCATCTCGTTCGTAATATTGATCAAACTACCTTCATTGCCAAGACGGCTGTGTACAAGTAAATCAACTTAGTGTCCTCAATTGGGTATTGTGCATTGTCCGCATACAGTCTCAAATCATGTGATTGATCAACCATGAACAAGATGAAATAAGAAAGAATCTCTGTTTCATACACGAGGATGTTATTCGATAGGGGAGTTCCTCGAGAACCGACAGTCGTTTAACCTCTTGTAAGCGATCAGGTCCGTACCAGATCATCGTATGCTGTATTTCAGTAGAGACCTCAAATGAAGTCGTGTATGAAGAGCCCTGCAGCTTTCCCAATATGGACTTGGATCTCTACAGCGTAGCTCACTCGTCTCTCCATCACTGCAACCCTCCGCCTTTTGGGCCTTTGACCCTGACATATTGATGCGAAGAGTAAAGCCAAATGGCATTGCTAAAGACCACGGTCGAGACCTTGACGGCAAGTGCCAGTGTCGATTATACACTATGAAGAGGGTTGTATGAGCGTGTTTCTAGTCTCACTATTGCCCTTACCCCTTACAGTGTCGGTACCTATGGACATCACGAGCTCTTCAAGCTATATACTATTGGTGCGCGAATCCAAGTGCTGCAGAAGTGTGTGGGTCTCCTGGAACAATTGAATGCACTTGTTCAGCATTAAACTCATCATGTCACTCGCTCCGCGCAGTCTCCACTATCGGGAACCGGTTTACGGTGGTGCATATCCGACAGGCCCTTTTGGAGCGAAGAATGGAGCAGTTGAAAAAGGCGGTACCCCCTCATTTTTCTTACTGCACTGATTCACTCCAAGATGTCACTTTCCATACTTGTCGCCCTTGCAGTCTGTTTCTCAGTCGGACTTATCCTGACCAGTGTGCTCACGTACCTTGAGGTCAGAAGCCTTGGAGCTAGCCCCTACAGTCACGAGTACGACTACCGATGGGAAAAGGTTGCGGAAATTATCGTTGGTATCATTTCGATAAGCCTGGGAATCGGTGGCATCGTTGCAATCGCGACTGTACCCTATTCTGGGAAAGAGATATACCACTGGCTCGATGGATTTCTTATGTGTAATCTCCAAATTCTCAACAGCCACAACGTTAGACAATCTGCTTGCGTGGATTTTTGTTCTTCTGCTAACAGAATTCTAGCTCACTCTGTTGTTGCGAAACTTCCTTTCTCCTCCATGGGCTATATGGGCTGTGCATCTGATGGCGTCAACAACTATACTCGATATTGTTTCCGCAGTTAAGTAAGTTAACTACATCTTCGGTTGAAGTCATCTAATTGTAAGCAGAGGCAAAACGGTGTTATCTGCGTATGAGTCGGCATTGCTTGCTCGTTTCGCTGCCGCGTCACTTGTGTCTCTCGTACTCTCGCTGAAGCAACTGAACGTCCATAACAACTCAGGATCTGAGCAGCGAATCGAGAACTATGTGCGCCTCCTGCATACTCTTATCTTATCGAATGCAGTTGCTTCGTTGATTCAATTGTCTGGCGCAATCATTGTCTCCGGTCTCTCACTTGCAGGCAGAGACAATTCGGCGGAGCTCCGGCAAGGCGTGTTCATTGTAAGCTTTCGCCTACGTTCATCACAGAAACTAATCTATACTAGGCCTGCACCGCTACACAGTTGCTGTGTCATCTCTCCTTTTACATCAATCGGATCTGGCGTGGACTCATCGTGCCGACAAGTGATTAGATAAGGAGATTGGACTATCTTTTCTCCCATGGACTGATAAGGAACCGTGCCTGCCGAATGGCAGAATGATAGACACGAAAGAGCAGGGCACATCAAGCACAGCGGAGCCCTCCTGCTTAGTGCACTAAGCTAGAGTGCTCTGACAGAAGTACCGCTAAGAATGAAACCACAACTGCGGGAAGGTTCTGTAGATAGATTATCCTGGGCTTGAAAGTGAAGGTATTGCGCATACCTGAGGTTCATCGACACCACCAAGTTGCATTCCGTCATATCACTAATACAATTAACGAAGATCTATTCGTGATGAGATTTTTGCTGCCATGCTCTCGAGACTATAAGCGTCGTCAAAAATCCTAGTGCGTGACAAAAGTTGTAAATGTGTCACAAGATTAGAGCTTATCCGAGACGAAGCCAGTAGGTTTCGCTAAAACGGAGTGGGGATCGCAACCTCAGCGGGCATTCTTATGTCAAGATACTTATAGAACAAGTTAATTAGGAACTACCCGAGGGTCCGGAAGAAAAAGCGTCCCGTTACACCGGGCGTCCCGGCACGCTTGGATTGACATTAGACCTTAGCACCAATTGTTTGGCTGGTCGACGTCGGATCTTGCCTGTCGGTTTTTCCTCTATTTTGAAAGCCCCACGTCATTTGCCAGATCAAAACGCCTGCCGGGACAGCAAACATTAATGCCCACATCAAACCAGAAAGCAGTAAGACCATGATGGAGAACACCCAGAACGCCCGTTTCATTGCGAAAAGTGAAGAGGCGTCAACGCGACTCCAGCCCAATTCATCATCTGGGACTGCTAGCAAGACTTGCATAGATGACAGCACCAAAGAGAGACTGGCGAATCCGAAAAATATCGGCGCGATTGAACGTTCTACGTACATCCCTGTCGACCAATAAGGGATCGCATAGAACCACTTTGTCTGCGCAAAAGACGGGCGAAATAGACGGACTGCCCAGTTCAAGCGCGAAAGACGGAGTTGACCGTAGTGATACCGCGGCGCGACATCCTCATCCTCAAGTCGTCGAAAATGGGCGATGAACCCGGACCATTCCGCCCACTTGAATCGGACTGGAAAGAGGTGAGCATCGTGCGCAAGGACGAAGTCCACGTGATGGCGTACGAGCAGTGCGTACGAGCGCATGAAGCCCAGTGCGATTCTCCGGTCGAAGCCGGGCTCTAGAGGAGATTGTGATCGTGTGGAGGCAGGCTGGTCGGGAGCAGTGTCTGTGACTGGCAACGCAAGGAAGGTTGTCCAGAAGTCGTGATTGAGCAGACATAGTGGCATGGGCTTGATGTAAATCCTATCGCGATGCCATACCAGATGCAGGGAAGCGTCTTCTGTAGCAACAATCTCTCTTAGCTTCATCCTCTGCCTGTTTATCGGATCGATGCTCTTGCCGGACTTCCGCGCAACGCACCAGAGATGGTTATATAGCTGATCGAGGACTGGTGTGTTGAGCTCCGAGGTTAAGAAGTCGCGAACGCTGGCTCGAGTAAGATCTGTACCAGGCTCGCCGGGGACATGGCTTATGGATCTGTTTGCCTCATCAGATGAAGACGAAGGCCACGGTTGGGAGACATGTTCCTGGCTGGGCGTTTTCAAACGATCGTTTGAGAGAGCTTTTGACAAAGGGAAGGGCGATAAAGGCGAAGACAAGGCATCCATGGGAGATTGCGGCGCTGTAACGTTTGGTTCTTACAGTGCGAGATCAATGTAGAAGCTAAAGGGACAGGTGTGCTTAGAGACAATTAAGTCTCCAATTAACATACGTGTTGAGCTGCGGGCGACATGTGTTCAGCTGCCACAGCCACGATCGCTGTCGCAGCTCGCTGCAGCCTGTCTCAGCCGGCCTCAGCCCAGCGTCTAGACAAGGCGCCGGCGCCGCCTCGTCGCCTTAAACGCAGTAGACTACTGCTGCTACCACTCTTACTTCTGCCTGCTCCGCCCCTCTACTTCTGCGCTGTAAGAGACGACTTTGTCTGAGCAGCCTGGTTAGAAAGCCTACGATCGACCCGCGCCTGCTTCCCCTGCGCTAACCTAGAGCAGCCCCACGGTACTTGGGGCTCTGACCGGGCCGCACGGGCGCTAGGTAGGAGGATGAACCTGACAACAACCAAGCTACGACTCTGCATCTTTATCACGTTAGTAGCCGTGCTCTACGACCAGCTAACGAAGAGGATCCCGTCACGACTGCAAGCGGATGAGGCGCCTCGAAGCGCGTCTGGCTTCGATAGAGCTGACGCGCTCAGCCCGCACGACAAACCCGCACGCGCTCATGGGATCGAGCAAGTCTGCGCAGCTCAGCGACTTGGAAGACATACTGACTGGCGACCAGCATCGTCTTCGTACACGGCCTCGGCTCGAACCCCGACACGACGTGGGGACCGAAGGGCAACAACTGGGTTAGCGATTTCCTTCCGCACGACATTCCCGCGGCGTTCCACAAGGAGATCCGAGTCTTCTTCTACAACTACGACTCGTACTGGAAGAGAGATGCTGTGCAGACGCGCCTATGGAGGCTCGGAAGGGGCCTGCTCGACGACACGTGCTCGCAGATCCGGCGGACGGGGGAGGTGGGTGTGCGTGTTGAACCCCGCTAGAGTAGATTGCTGACGCTTGTGTCCCCTAGGAGCAAACGCGCGGTCTTATTTTTGTCGGCCACAGTTACGGAGGTCTTGTCGTTAAGCAGGTATAGCGAATTTCAGCTGCGCAAAGAACTTCTTGTTCAACTCCTGCGCAGCGCTTGTTAGCACATGCACAACAACAGCTGACTGTAGCAGGCACTCATCCTAGGTAGCCGGGGCCAAGCCTTCACCCACGTCGCTGAACACGTGAGAGGTGTTGTTTTTTTAGGCACGCCGCACCGAGGATCGAGCTTCAGCACATGGGGCAGCCTCGCCGCACGAGCGCTGCAGCCGCTCGGATCGAACCCGTTGCTTCTGCAAGAAGTAGCGTACGACACGCTTCCTCTACAAGATTTGCATGAAGAGTTTGAAAGTGCAAGGAGCGAGCAGCTGCAGGTAGTCAACTTCTTCGAGCAGCGCAAGACGCGACTTTTCAAGGTGTGGTTCTGGCTGTGGGAAGAATTTGTAAGTGATTGACCGCGGGCTAGAGGAACTGACGCTAATGCCGATGCAGTGTGTTCGAGAGCAGTCAGCAATATACAGCCGAGTAGAGAATATTGGCCTTCCTGTCGACCACTACGGTCTGAACAAGTTCAAGTCAAAGGACAACGAGAGCTATAAGAGTATTGTTAGAAAGCTTCTTAGCCTAATTGAGCCTATTGCAGCGCAAAAGCAGCGCCGGCTCTACTCAGTCCCTGTCAGCACGGCAGAGACGTACACAGAGCGGCAAAAGCTGTCTACTGCAGTCGTTGAAGGTCTGCGCGTGCGCCACGAAAAAGCTATCGTTCCGTACGCGCTGGCTATCTACGGGCTTGGCGGCACAGGCAAGACGCAGTTGGCGCTGAAGTACATCGAAGACTACAAGGACAAGTACAGCCCGATCTTCTGGATCGATGCCAAGGACAAGGAGTCGGTGCTGTCGAGCTACGAGCGATGCGCTGGCGAGCTGCAGCTCCAGGTATCTCCTAGACAGGCGCAGAGCACCAGCCTCGTGGACTCGCCGACCGTGCAGGCGGTACTCCGGTGGCTGGAGAACCGGAAGAAGACAGACGACGCCTGGCTGGTAGTCATAGATAACGCTGACGATTTTTCCTCGGGGATCAAGAGAGTAATACCGAGAGGAGATCGAGGGAGTATTGTCATCACTAGCCAGGACAGCCACGCCCGGAAACTAGTAGATGGAGGCTGCGAAGCAGTGCGCGTGGACACGATGGAGCGGCTGGAAGCACGAACGCTTCTTCTTCATCACCTTCAACTAGACCCTGATCTGGTCACAGCAGACGTCATACACGAATGCGACAAGGTGGCAGAGCAGCTTGGGTACTTAGCCCTTGCTATTGACCTTGCTGGAGCTTACATCAGCAATGATGATACCGACCCAGAGCAAGCTCTGCGACGGTATCTACAGAGGTACACCCGCCACAAAGACAGTCTACTGCGAAGTGAAGACTCACGCGGGCTCTTAGCGAGCGAGAAGACGGTGTGGACGGTGTGGGACACGACGCTTGAGAAGATTGAAGCATTGGAGGTGCTCGAGGATTCCTCTTCGGATCTACCAGCACGTTTGCTGCTTCACTTCCTGGCTCAGTTTAGAGGCGCAATCGTACAAGACGAACTGTTTCGGCTCGCTAGCTCTAGAGTGTTAGATAGCCGTGATGCGCTGTACGATGGGGCAGCAGCGCTACCGAGCTGGCTCAGCAAAGCCCTCGCAGTAGAAATGGAAGAATGGGACGACTACTACTATAAACAGACCCGAGATCGACTCGTTCGGTACAGCCTCTTGCAACGCACTGGGGGGGAGTGGCCAGGTGTATTAATGCACGGGCTGGTGCAGTGGCGAGCGAAAAAGTACGAGGAGGAGCAGCCGTGGGAGAAGTGGCATCTCATAACTGTATTAGCAGCATGCACCCAGCTGTCTGGGGAGAAAGCTCGACCTCAGTTCCGAAGGGAACTAGTTGCACATGTTCCTACAGTAGGGAAGACGTATCTGGATGAGTTAGAGATAAAAGAGAAGAAAAGAGTCTTTGTATGGCGTACAGTCAGCACGGTGTACTTCGACGAGGGGCGGTGGAAGGAGGCTGAAGAGCTGCAGTTGCAGGTGATGGAGACGTGCAAGACGAAGCTGGGAACGGACCATCCCGACACGCTGACTAGTATGGCCAACCTAGCGTCGACATACAGGAACCAAGGCCGATGGGACGATGCGGAGAAGCTGTTTGTGCAACTAATGAAGACGAGCAAGACGAGGCTGGGAGCCGACCATCCCGACACGCTGATCAGCATGAACAACCTAGCGTCGACATTTTGGAGCCAAGGCCGATGGGACGATGCGGAGAAGCTGTTTGTGCAAGTGATGGAGACGAGCAAGATGAAGCTAGGAGCTAACCATCCCCACACGCTGATCAGCATGAACAACCTAGCGTCGACATACAGGAACCAAGGCCGATGGGACGATGCGGTGAAGCTGGAAGTGCAAGTGATAGAGACGAGCAAGACGAGGCTGGGAGCGGACCATCCTGATACTTTAGCTAGCATGAACAACCTAGCGTCGACATTTTGGAGCCAAGGCCGATGGGACGATGCGGAGAAGCTGTTTGTGCAAGTGATGGAGACGAGCAAGACGAAGCTGGGAACGGACCATCCCGACACGCTGACCAGTATGGCCAACCTAGCGTCGACATACAGGAAGCAAGGCCGATGGGACGATGCGGAGAAGCTGGAAGTGCAAGTGATAGAGAAGCGCAAGACGAAGCTAGGAGCGGACCATCCCGACACGCTGACCAGTATGGCCAACCTAGCCTTCACGTGGAAAGCACAAGATCGGAGTGCAGAGGCTATTGTCTTGATGAGGCAGTGTATGCAGCAGCGTCAGCGAGTGTTAAAAGCCAGTCACCCCGATCTTAAGTCATCTTTAGCAGCCTTAGAATGGTGGGAGGCCGAGGGAGTCGACTTATTTACAATGTACGCTTGAAGAGATGCTCCTTAAAGAAGACAAAACGTACAACTAGGGTAGCGAACAGTAACACAGTGTAAATTAGTATTGTGTGTTAAGGGCATAGGATTGCATTAATTGGACCTGTTTTATATACAGGAGTGGCTTGTGACTGGGAGCTAGCTTACTTAGAGCTAGCCAATTTCGGTACTCTACTAACGTCCATCCCGTATGACCGAGAAACCCTAGTAAGGGGTATCCTAGCCTAACAGGGATTCCGCAGAAACGTCGCTTGACCAAAGGATGAGGGCGGTTTTGCAAAGTACTGTATGAAGGGAAAGACTGAGCGCTCATACGCAAGTCCCCTTGCCGTTATCGTGTCCCAAACGCTCGATACTATTCAAGAGTGTCAGCATGGTGTTTTTTCTATAGATTGATTCAAGAAAAGCTAATTCTAGGGTGTTTCTGGTGTGTGGAAGGGTTTGAAGGGCTACAAATGCTCGAATGCGTCAAGCATATGGACTGGTGATGACTAGGACTACTTTGCGATCGATCACCCTGAGGTCTGGCGCAAGAAAGCAAATGCAATCAGGAATATATTTGGTGCTTTCTAAGTTCGAAAAACCGCAGTAGCTTCACTAACCTCTCTTCCGTAACGTGTAGTAGCGCAGTTTTATTGCACCAAGCGACCGACCAGGGAAGCGTTCACACACCTCTTCCCAGTCCATACCCTGTTCATCCTTCAACGAGAGTAGAAGTAGTTCCTCCGACTCTAGCCACAACTTGCGTATTCGTTGGCTGTATCTGTCTGTAAACTGCTCCTCATGTTCGTTCTCTTCGTCGCAATCGTGATCGTTGTCGTCATTGTCTGAGTGATCCATTTTATAGGTAGCAGCGTCATTATGAAGACCGTTAATCCACTCTGCATTCGGGCTTCGGCGATTGCAAGGGTTTAGACTACTATCATTACACCGATACCCTAGCAGCACCCATGAATCGGACGACATCTGGGTCATACGGATGACGTTTCCTTGTTCGCCAAGGACCTTGCGACCTAGGGCTACCACGTCGAGGTAACTATCCGATTTATGGGGACGTAACATCGCCGTCACGACTGAAGAGCCATTTGGAATAGTGCAGAGTGTTAGATCAGTTATCTGACCAGACATGCCAAGGTCGCAACCATAGTGGATGTCGGTTCCATGGTCAGCCGTTGTGCCTGGTGTATCTGATTCTAGGAAGCAAGTTCGAGGCCTTTCGTCGGTATTGCGTCGTCCCGGTACCGGCTTTCTTTGTGGTTGGCTCAACTTTACTCGCTGTGATAGCCTCGCAGGTACTGTGTCGTAGTCCAATGGCTTAGGAGAAGTGTTTGATGGCTTGCGTGCCATCGCGGGTGTCCAAATCTTACGCCTAGGCCGTTGTGATCTCGATGGACGGATAATGCTTGACTCGTCATAGCTGTGTTCATCTTCGAAGGTTTCCCCGACTTCGCTTCCGCTGCCTTGTCTACTTATCACACGCCTGTTGGATTCTCCACGAACGTCTTGTTCAAATAGAATTTCTTGGAAAGGAGTGATGGAACTTTTTGTCTGTGACTGCTCCTCGACTGCTCCCTGAACATAAGCACCATCGCCATCTTCTACATCGTGGTGGTTGGTTGAAGACAGGGCTAGGCTTATGGTACCATGTTCTCTGTCATCGGCACCTGGAGAGCTAACAATAGGACCATCACTGGTACTGAGACAAGAAGCTTGGTGACTAGGATCCAGCAGAGGCGGTGGCTTAGGCGTATACGTTGATCCGGTTATGGAGCTCTGTGCCTGTCGCTCAGCCATCCTTCGCCGCTTCGCTGAATGGAGATTCTCAGGCTCTGGATGCGATACAATATCCGGCACTGCTTCCAGAATAGTCGTTGCCGCGTCAGCGATCGAAGATCGATGCGAACGTTTTCGCGGCGTCGGAGGACCTTTTACCACACTAGCGACGCCGAAAAACGTTTCGCTCTCCACTGGTGGTCCAACTTTGACGGTTTCAGCACAGTTCCATGTATCGATGGGGCCATTTTACTCACCATGATAAGTACTTTCAACATCCTTTGCGGAGAAAGCGTACCTTACGGCTGCATTAAGATCATCGCGCTGTTCAGCAAGATCCCCTCCATTGGCAGTAGTCAGATAGCAGCTCTTATCCTGATAATCCGAGGTCCCGCTGCTACGCTGTAATGCTGTAGCCCTGTGGTGATCTCTAATCGCGTCATTCTCCCCAACTGAATAACAGTCTATTTGAAATCAGTGTAGTCACCACCACAGTCTACTGAAGTACTTACCTGAAGTGCTTCCATTGGATGAATCGTTCAAGGTCAAATACAATGTTTCGCGGCTTTTCTCTCCCCCGTCACACAGTTCATGGGAAAACTGGTGATCACTATCGCCAATTGCGAATCCAAGAGTGCTGGTTTCATGGTCTGCTCCAAACAGATCGTACATCTCTGAGTTTATGTCCTCATTGTGTTCGAGACAGTCCGCCGTCTGAACCCGTGATATCTGTTGAGGAAAAGTGGAAAAGTCGCTTTCCCTTCCTGGATACGACTCAGTCTGGAACGGCTCGCTTATATGATTGGGAAGTGAGCGTTACCTTGATAAAATGATCCAGAAGATTGACTTACTACCTCTCCACAATCTCTGTGAAGAGTATGCTTTGTCGCCTTAGCCTTGGGCTTCGATTGAGTACGTTTGAGCGACGTAGGTTCGAAATGTTTGAACCTATATGAAGTGGGCTGAGCAACTGAAGTAAAGGTAGCCATTGTAAGATTTTACTGGATCTGATGGACTCGAATTGAGCAGAGAGCGTCTTATCCAAGACTTTAAATAAGAAACCACTTATCTCACTGGCGGCGTGTTCAGGGGAGAGGACATCTACATTTTGGCACTAGATCGATTGTATTGTGTCATTCTCGGTGTCTCCAAAGCCGTCATCTTCATCTAACCATATCTGACTCTTGACTCGACTGTTGCTGCAGAGACTTCTAATGGTATGCATGGCTCTCTGAACGGGCCCAGTTCTGGAAGGGCCAACTACACCAAAGGGGGTAGCCGTGATGTCTATTCGACCGAAAGAGCGTGAGGAACAACGTCAGGATACCAGAACCAAGACACGAGAATGAAAGCCATTCACCGGAAAAGCTCCACCCTTGGTACCAAATGTGGTGGAGAAGGCTCTGCTCATTCGGCACAGCTCAAGGTGTCCAATGCTGATGCTGAGCTACTGATTGCAAGCTAAACGCAAGCGTATATGCAAACAGCCTTCGCTGGCCACATTGCAGGGTCACAACCAAGGCAGATAGTGCTCGACCGCGTCATCGTCAACGCGCCCAGCTCCAGTAGAGCACGATTAGGTGAGCTCACAATGGCCAGCGTACGTTGCAGAAGGACCGAAGGTTGGAGGAGGTGATACTACGTGGCCAGAGCTGAGACATGAGCACCGTTGACTGGAAGCTGTATCCGGCCGAAGCAGAATGTTGGCGCGGTGCAGTCCATCTCTGCATTCCTACGCCAGTGGTAATGCCGAGCCGCGAGCTGGTTGTCTCCTGATCTCCGTCTGTTACGTTGCACTGCAACCCTGCGATACTGCAGGCAATGCAGACCCGCTACTGATGGTGGAGGATCGCAAAGCCCCGAGTGCGGAACTAGTGCCTGATGTGAGTGAGGTATCGTGTCCGAGAGAAAAGCCTGTTTGGGCATGTCGTGTCCTGATCAGGCAAATTGGAGGACGTTTTCACCAGAAGGAGCAAGGTGCGAAGTGACTGAAGCTGAGACCACGGCATGAGACATCATACAGTGAACAGTGCGTTGCAGAGACAACAATGGTCCGGTGATTCCGACGAGAAGCAAGGGGCAAATGGGCCGATCAGTCGAAAATGTGAGGCGCTGGACTGGGCGACAGACGAGCATTCCTCTTTCGATCGCGGATGTAGTTCAGGTGGGGCTAGTGTGCAAGTCGGTACTAACGCCTAGGTGCAAGCAGTAGGAGAGGTATCGCGCTTGTGAATTTGTTCCTATGGCACTGTGCTATGCTGCGTATAGAAGTTTAGAAATATGTGGTCTGGGAGACATCAGTATGTGTGAGAGTCAGAGCGACCAGCTTGTACTAGGATCGTATAGATCTGACAGGGACGACCTGTGGAGAGGAATATGAGCACCGTAGCAACGTGAGCTAACTCTTGAAGGCAGGCAGCTGAGTTTGAGGGAATTGCCATATGGAGAATAGTTGAGTAAAGTGGAAACGGAGTGATGGCTGGGCGCAAGCCAGGGGCCACAGATGAAAGGGATGAGAGTAGAGAGTAACGGGAAACGAGAGGATGGAAAATAACGGTGAAGGTAGGCCTTTTAAGACAGTGGTCGAAGACAAGTCTCCTGTTTGGGCGTAGCGCGAAAGCTGGACGCGAGGCCCGGATTACCCAAATGGGGTACATATCTTTCCTGATGCAGGCATGCCGTCTGATGGTTTACTCTTTATAACAAAATTAAAAGCTTTAACTAGAACCTTATTGCGTTAAATAAATCTTTTGTTATTATTATGTTAGAAAAATTACTATTTATATACAATACTCTAGTAAAGATAGTACGTACGTGTGTTATAATGCTTTATATAATTAGCTGCCTTAAATAACAATATTTAAAAAGATCTAGTAATACTTAAGCTAAAGTTTTGATTTTAAAGATTATTAAGCTTTAGATACTTAAAAAGGAGGTTTATAACAGAATTTTAGTTATTTACCTAAACTACTTATAGCTCTTATCTCTTAATATTTTAGTAAAGTTAGTATAAGTAGGTTTAGCTGCTGCTATTCTATTAACTAAACTAAAAGCTATAACAGCTTGTTACAAGGTAACAAGGAGTTGCTTCCTTTTGTTATGCAGGCCGCAGGAAGGAAGACCATCGGGATAGCCGCGATGGAAGGTCGCTGATCCAAGGCGGGGCCTGGGATCACGTGACGTGCCATC